GAAGGGATTAAGTGGGGCAAACAGAGGAGCAAGGAGACGTGTTGGGAGGCCACTGCAGTGGTCCAGGTGAGAGAATGCTGGCTTGGGCTGGAGGGTGGCAGTGGAGACGGAACCAAACAGATACGGAATCAATGATTGGACGTTTGGATGGATAGGCAGCTGGCTGGCTGGGTTGGTGAGTGGAATGCTTCTCCCCTTCTTCCCCATTCCAGGCAGGGTTTCTCTTTGAGACTCCAAAGGTCCCAATGTCTAACCTCACCAAAGCTTCTATCATCGGAAATATTCCATGTGGCACAGGTGTCACAGAGTGGCCACATGAGGAAGGCACCTCCACTGGCACAGATCTCTTCCCTATGAACAAAGGATGCCCATCCTGGGAGAGTCTATCCCCACCCAGCCCATCTGCCAACACCCCCAACACAGCCACTCATGCTGGTGTGTTGGTGCCTATGGTGGCCAGACCACAGATAAAGACCAGGGTGCCCACAAGGGTGGCAGGCAGCAGCCAGGCTGCGCAGAAGCCTGAAGGGGTGACAGAAAGCTCATGAGCCCCCATCTGTGTACTCAACACCGGCTCCCAGCCCCCACTCCCAGTGCCAGGCTCCCCTAGCCAGGCAAAGTAGATGGCCATCTCCTCCCCAAAGTACTCTTGTACGTGGTCCAGAGGCTGGTATTGTGCCAGTATCCCCAGTGGGCCCAGTATAAGTACAGCAATTGGCAAGGGTTGAGGTCTGCACCAGGCACCTGGTACCCCGGCAGTTCAAAGGGGCCCTAGGGAAATGAAAGGAGAGAGGGCTGCAGGGAAGTCCCAGAATTCTCTCCTGCTGCCCCAGCAGTGGGAGAGAGCTGAGCTTGGGACATCTCTACCTCATGCAGTGGGAAGGCTGCAGCATAGACTCCCTTGGTCAGCAGATGGGCAATGCCCATCTCTTCTCGTTCCTGCTTCCCATAGACTGTGCGAGCCAGGATCTCTGCCACCTGCCAGGGAGAATACTGGCATGAGCTCTGCCCCATTAAGGTCCCAGCTGGACCCTCCCCGGCAGTTGTCTCACCACACGATGCCTCTGCCCGTTGGAGAAGTAGGAGTCGTGGGAATCGGTGCCCAGGAACCTGTGAGCAGGGCGGGTCAGAAGCCGAGCCCTCTGCCCAATGAGAGACCTAGGACAATGGGAGTGCAGAGGCTCTAGACTGGGGACAGAGGGATGAGACAGGTCAGCTGCTAAAACCGAAGAGCCCATCTACCCACCAAGCTCAGCCTGGGCTAGGTGTGTTCCAGCCAGGTGAGCATCTCAAAGGAGTTGAACGGGAGGGAATCGGGGACCAGGAACCTCTAGGACATGGTCTGGACCCCAGAATGCGGAAAGGACAGGTCAGACACCTAAAGTGGGTTAGGCAGGTATTGCCTGCCTGGCAAACCCAGGAGGAACAAACGAGCCTTGATTGGACTAAGCCTGCTGCTGGCGCTCCGCCCCTCTGCAGAAGGCCCCGCCCCGCGGCACGTGTCCCGCTGGGAGCCCGGGAAGGTGCATGTGTAGAAGTCCAGCGGCTTGTTAGGCTGGTGTTGCTGTAAAGGGTTGCGCAGGCGCAGGCGAGCGGTAGGAGTCCGGGTTGGGTCGGACCTGGGGCACGAGAGCAGGTGAGACGCCCGAGGTGTCCTGTACCTGGGGAACTCCGCTCCAGGCTGACCCCGCTCCGGCTTCCACTCCCACCTGCAGCGGCGCGCGCAGGCTCAGTTGCTCCGCGTAGAACACTGGCAGCTCCCAGGGCGCGCTCAGCTTGGCGCAGTGCACGGCGCGGGCGCGGCTGAGCTCCTGGGGAGCCGGGGTCTCCAGGTGGGCCAGAGCCCGGAGCCCCTTCCCTTGTGATCCCTGCCGGGGTGACAGATCCCGTTCAGGGCGCGGGTCCTTGCCACTTCAAAAGCGCTTTGACTCGCGTTTCCTCGTCTGAAAATCAAACGAGGAAGGAACTAGCACCCCCATTCTACAATACGTGGACGAAGACTGAGTAGGCCGACGTCATACAGTAGTGGCTGCTGTTTGCCATTTATTGGCCACCTCCAATGTGCCAGACCCTGGGCTGAGCGCTTTACACTCTTGGCCCATTTAATCGTCACAGCCCCTCTATGGGGCTGGTGCTACGGTAAAGCCCACTATACAGATGGGGTGCTGAGGTCGCTTGCGCAGGTCACAGCTCGTTAGGGGAGCCCGTGCCACCTGCCCCCGCCGCGCTCCCCTCTCGAGGAACAGCCCGGCCCCGCGCGGGTCCCGGTGGAACTTATCGCGCCAGCGCCGTCTTACGAGTCGCTGCCGCTTGGGCTGCCACAGGGGTCGCAGCTTCTCCTCCCACGCGAGCACGAAGTCCGTCCCATCGCGGGGGCGACAGGGCAGTTAGGAACGGTCTGCACCACTTCCATTTTGAGTGGAGAGCGGGGGGCTGGGTTTCTCAGTCCCACGGGAGCCAAAATTAAAGGAAATCGTTTGCACTGCAACAGAGATTGGGGGTAGCTCGAAGGAGGAAGGAGAGATGCCGCGGGATTCCTCGCGGAGAGAAGAGGGCATTTAAGGGAGGGGCCGTGGGTTGTTACTCTGGCCGCCCGGGCGAGGTGCGGGCAAGAGTCTTGTCTGGCTCAAGTCTCACCGACTTCGGTTATACCGTCGTGGAAAAAGTCGCCCCTGGAGACTGGGGCATAAACGCTGCCGCAGGACGCGCAGGCACGGTCGTCGTCCGGGTCCTTGTCCTCGGCGCCATCGCCGTCCTGGGAGCAACAGGACGAGAGCAAGGGGGAGAGGACCCTGGCGCAGTTGCAGGCGCCGGGAGCTTCTCCACCGGCCCTACTGGGCTGCCCCCCGCTCGGCCCACCAGCCCGCCTACCCTCGGCTGAAAGAGAGCGCAAGCCTGGAGGCGCTGTGGGCGCGATGTGCGACCGTTCTCCCGCCGGTTCACCCGCCCGCAGCCCAAGAACCACCGCCACTACCGTAATAACAACGACAAAGGTAATGGCCAACGTTTATTGGGTCCCCGGTGCCTGGCACGGTGCTAAACATTTACACGCATTTACTTCTTACAACTCAAATAAGTGGGTGTTAATTGTTATCTCCATTTTACAGATGAACACAGGAATTAAAGTAAACGGTCCAAGGTCACAGTGCTCCTTCATCTTCCTTCTGGACCACCCCCCAAGCCTCAGTCCCTCCCCTTTGCTCTCAAGATCCACCCCTTCTTTCTAGAATAGAGTTGAACACTAACTCCCCCACTGCCACTGTCCCAGCCTCTGGGTCTGAGGTCACAGCCAGCTAGGGGCCTCCACCACACCCTCCTAGCTTGGCCCTCTGGGGATTTGACTCTACATGATGACAACCTGTCTTGGGCCCTTAGCCCCCTGCCTCTCATCTGGGCACTCTCCCCCAGAAGTCTGTGCCTGGCACGTGGGGCTCACTGCTGGCACCAGGCTGCCCAGGGAGTAAGGGGATCCAGGACATGTCCAGGAAGCCCTGCCCCCACCCTAGACTCAAGCAAGGATCTGGAGACCCGCCCCACGGCCTTTGCAGACCAGGCTCCTGCATCATCTTCCTCATCCTGGGGCCAGGCACCTCCCTCAGCTCCTCCCTGTTGCCCTCTAGGCCAGGCTCTGCTGGCAGCAAGCAGGAGCTTCCTTTAGCAGCTCCCCCCGGCCTGGGAAGGGTGGGGGAGGAGAAAAACAGAAGGAGAGGGAGTAGCCGGGCGCCAGAGTATTCCCCCTCCTGCAGGCAGTGCCAGGCTTCTGGTTGGGAAAGCAGGGAGGACCAGGTGGGGCCTGTGAGGGGCTGGACCCAGAAGACAGCACTAGGGGATGAGGGGAAGGACGGTCCACGGGGGGAGGGGTGCAGAGGGCTAAGGGCATCAGGGCTGCTTCATGGCTCTGCACCCTTGGGCAAGTGCCTGACCCTCTCTGGGCCTTAGCCTCCCTGTCTTAGTCCATGGCGGCTGCTATGACAAAATGCCATATACTAGGTAGCTTATTGACAACAGAAATTTGTTTCTCACCGTTCTGCAGGCTGGGAAGCATGGTTGCATTCTGATGAGCGCCCTCTTCCTGGTCTATCGCCAGAGCTTTCTATGTCCTTGCAGGGTGGAAGGGGCTAGGGAGCTCTGTGGGGGAGTCTCTCTCTTTTTGTTTTTTTGCTGAGGAAGATTTGCCCTGAACTAACATCTGTTGCCAATCATCCTCTTTTTGCTTGAGGAAGATTCGCCCTGAACTAACATCTGTGCCAGTCTCCCTCTATTTTGTATGTTTTGTATGTATATTTTGTATGTTTTGTATGTTTTGTATGCTGCTGATGAGCAGTGTGGCCGCTGATGAGTGGTGTAGGTCTGCGCCCCAGAACCCAACCCAGGACTCAGAGCAGATTGACTGAACTGAACTACTAGGCCATGGGGTGGCCTCAGCTCTGTGGGGTCTCTTTTTTAAGAGCACTAATCTCATTCGTGAGGGCTCCACCCTCATGACCTGAGTACCTCCCCAAAGCCCCTAATACCATTACAGGGGGGATTAGGATTTCAATATAGAAATTTGAGGGGACACGGACATTCAGTTCACAGTACTCCCCCTCTGTAGAGAAAGGCTGGGGACTCCCTGAGAGCCCATTTTGGGGAGGGAAGAGGAGGGGGATGGGAAGTCCTGACTCTGGGACAAACAGCAGCAGGGCGGGGCCACAGCACACCCTCACCCCCACCTCAGAAGACAGTCCCTCCCCTCCCCACCGGCTTCCCTCCAGAGCTCCAAGGTCTGGAGGGTCCAGGGCCCTGGGGACCAAGCACAGCTACCCTTTTCCCAAAGTTCCCCTCTAAGTCAGCTTGGGCACACAGTCATCACCTTTCCCCTCCAGGGAGCCTGGGGGTGGGGGGGGGACTCGGAGGGGGAGGGGCAAGTGGAGGGATATTTGTCTTTGAGCCGATGGGAGGCTTAACCTAATGGTGAAATTTCTGCCACCAAAATGGGGAGAAGGCACTTCCTGATGGCCTTTTTTTTTTTTTCTCACTCTCCAAAGCCCCAGTAATGGTTGTATATGCTAGATGTAAGTCATCCTAGTTCTTCCGTGTGAGCCACCACCACAGCATGGCAACTGACAGATGGGTGGTGTGGTTCCGTGACCAGGAAGTGAACCCTGGCAGCAGAAGTGGTGAGCACTGAACTCTAACCATTAGGCCATCAGGGTCGCCAAGGCTCTGAGACAGGAGCTTTACCTGGAGCCCAGACCCTCTTCCTGGACAACATGCACAGGACTTGCTACATAATTTGTGGTATCCAGAATTTCGAGATAGCAAGAGCAGAGCATTAAACCAGGTGTGGGGCCCCTCTGAGTGCCGGGCCCTGTGGACTGCTCAGGTGGCAGGCCCACGAAGCTGGCCTGAATCCAGGCATGTACACACACTCTCTTCTCACTCACTCTCCACATGACCCTGCCCACAGACGACCCTGCAGGCACAGCCACCAGCTCCTAGAATTATGGCTCTGCAGATCCCTCCTCCCTCAGGCTCCCAGTCCTGCCCTCTGTGGAGGCCCCTGGGGGTAGCCTACTAAATACTGAAGTGGCTCCAGGTCCCACCCCATTGCCCTCCCCACTTTGCTGTTACCCAGGGAGACCGTGAAGGGAACTGTTCACCTCTGGTTTGGGGCGAAGGTGGCTGAGGTTGATCCTCCGACGGGAGCAGTGGTAACCAGGAGAAACTGGCCTGGCCTGCCCTGCCATGGGGAGGTTCTGGGATATTTCTCCAGAGCAAGCTTAGGGCTCTTAGCTGAGATGGTGCCCAAGAAGGATGCGGAAGCTTCCTTTCTGGGGTGTCTTAAACCCAGAGATAACTGGCTGGGATATAGGGTAGCTGGTGCCACAACACAGTACCTGTAGCTGGAGGGTCACATTCAGGCCCAGAGGCCACCTTCACCACATTCCACCCCCACACCTTGCTCTGCCTGGTGGGGAAAGGTCTACTGGGGCTAAGAACAGAGAGAAAGGGCTCAAAGCAGAACTGAAGGCTGCAGTGGTAAGGTCTATGGCCCAGGAGCAGGAGCCAGCCTGGGGACTGCGGGGGCTGTGAGCCTTGGGGTCCTGCCCAGGAGCAGGAGACAGCCTGGGGACTGCGGGGGCTGTGAGCCTTGGGGTCCTGCCCAGGAGCAGGAGCCAGCCTGGGGACTGCGGGGGCTGTGAGCCTTGGGGTCCTGCCCAGGAGCAGGAGCCAGCCTAGGGACTGCGGGGGCTGTGAGGCTTGGGGTCCTGCCCAGGACATTCCTTCTCTGGCGTACGGGATAAGCTCAGGTGTCAGCCCTGAACGTGAATTAAGGATAAGAAGGGGTTGAAATCAGTCCTTTAGGCCCTGGAAGGGCTGACAAATCTCTGGGCAGTGCCCAGCGTGGACAGACTCGCAAGCAGTGCCATGTAGGCCGGCAGCGTGCTCAGGAGCGTGAGCAGGGTGAGTGTGTGCGAGCCTCCTGTGGTCCGGGAGGGAGGAGTGGGCGGCGTTTTGGGACAAGTGCTGGTGCGTGTGAGCACATGATCATGCGTGTGAGTGTGGAGAGGCAGAGGGGCTGCCTTCTCAAGAGGAGGCTCCAAGGGTCAGCTGGCTGGCCCGGGCCCTTCCAGCTGGGTTAGACTCAGGCCAGGCCTCAGCCCGGGGCTTCATCTCTGGGGCCAGATGGGGTGTCATCAGGGAGTAAGAGTATATAAGGCCCCCTTTGTCGGCACCCACCATGCATCAGTGTCTCTAGCTGATGGGCGGGGGTGAGACACAAGCATGGCCAAGTTCACTGGCCTTCCTGCTCCTGCCTTGCTGGCCTCCCTGACCCCGACCTGGTCCAGTCCCTGGCCCTGCCCAAGGATGCATTCTGATTCCCCTAGGCCAGCAGGGCCCCTGTCCTAAGCCTAGCCTGACAGTTTCACGATCAAGAAAGGCACTACAGAGTAAGGGGCTTGCCTCCTGGACACACAGGTGGACTGCATTTCCCAGCTTCCCCCTACAGCCCCGTGTGACCACGTGATTAGGTCCTTGCCGATGGAATGTGAGCAGAATGAGGCACAGCAGCCTACGCCAGATCCCTAGGAACCTCCTAGGTGACCTTCCACATGCACTCGTTCTGTCTGCAGACTGGATGCTGATGCCCCAGGGCAAATTGGGAAGCCACGTGTAGAAGATCTCAGAGCCTGGGGCTCTGAATGAGTGTGTGCAGCAGAGCCCCACACCCACCTCCAGCTCCACCAGAGTGAGACATAAGCAAGAAAAAAACTCTAGCAGTATGCCACTGAGGTTTATCTGGAGCAGCAGATGGTGTTACCTCAGCTAATGCAGGCTCTTGATTGAAGTCAGAGGTGCAGGGCCCAGAGGCACCCCTCCCCACACTCGCGCCCCCCCCCACCCCCACCCCCCCGGTGCTACAGAAGGGGGAAGGGCAGCAGGAGGTTGGGTTGGGGAGGACGTTTAAGCCCTGGGGCCCTTCCCATACAGTTCCTCAGTTTCGAGAGCCTAGAGCCCCGGGGCAGAGAGAGAAGGCCAGCAGGCACCTAGATGCCCTCAGACCTTTGTGCCCCCACATCACTGCCATGAACTCTGCCAGGAAAGTGCTGCTGGGGCAAGACCCTTTCAGGCCACCATCCACCCTGACCAGGCCCCTCTGGCCCTCTGATGAGATCAATATGCATGCCCCAGCCTTAGGCCTTGGGTCCTGCCCTCTGCTCTGGGTCACCTGAGGGTCGGGAGTGGGGATCACAGGTGCCGGCTCATGATGCCACCACCCTTCAGCTGGGGGTGTTCTCTGGGGGATTGGGGAGCAGGCCAGCTGCCACCTGATCCTGGTGCCACAGCTGCTCCGCCAGACCATTGAGCACATGGGCAATGTCAGCCAGCCCAGCCCGCCCATCCAGCGTGCGTCCATCTGCCAGCCGCCGCCCTGGCACACTCTTCACTCGCAGGAGGGGCAGATCCCAGGCCTGCCGGAAGGCTGTGAGGTCACGCTCAGGCACATCTGTGTGCATGTACTGGTCAAACCTGGATGAGGGTTAAGGAGCCTGGCCAGGAGCCTCTGCTTACCACCCCATCAAACCCAGCTTTCTCCTTCCTCCCTGGAGCCCCACACCCAGGGTCTGGGAAAGGCCCTGCTGTAGCCTTTAGGATAAAGCCCCTGGGGCTGGACCCCACGGTGGGCCAGAGGAAGGGTCCCTGACCCCCTTGCTCTGCGCCTTGCCAAGCAGGCATTCTGACAGCCCTAGGGGCCACCAAAAGGATATTTGGAGCCGATGACCATCCTGACGACACTGGGGGCCTCACCTGCTACTCGGGCCAGCTGTCCAGGGAGATCTTCGAAGGAGGCACGGTCGGTGAAAGAGAAGAGGAAGAGGAAAGCGTCTGTTTTCTCTTTGCAAGCCTGGGGATGGAAAGGCTGATGCGAAGCTCGAAACCTCAGGACCAGAACTGTGCTCTCAGCTGCAGGGCCCTGAGAAGTCTCAGCACAATCCCTCCTTTCACATATTGGGAAACTGAGGCCCAGAGCCGGGACTGCTGGTCCCAGGGCAGAGCTCAGGTGGAGACCCAGTCCCTAACGCCAGCTCAGAGCTCTCCCAACCAGGGCAGCGCCCTCAGTCCATTCATGCCCGATTCTGACCTGCAGATCAGGCAGCCCGGGCTCAGACCTGTTCTCAGAAGTCCACCTCAGGCAACCAGCCCCTCCCGCACCCACCCAGGCCCACCTGCCTGCTCACCGGCAGCATGTGATCAAACTTCTTGAGCGCAGACTCCCCGCAATCCCAGAACTCAAAGCGGAACATGACGACACGGTCGCTGGCCTGCAGTTTGGCTGGCCAAAATACCACGGTGGTCTGGATGCCTGGGGAGGCCGGGGTCAGCCACTCAGCATGGGAGACGTGGAGGTGGAGAGGGGCAGGGTGCCAGGAAGGAATAGAAAGAAGAGATCTGTCCCTGCCCTGGGGGGGTCCCCAGTCTGACGGGAAGGGCATAGTCGCTGACCTGGGAGAATTCTCAGTCCGATGGGGGAAACCGGCCTGCCCTGGAGGAGCCCAGTCTACCAGGGAGATGCAGCCCTAGCCCTACCCATGAGAAAGCAGTTTCACTCGTATGGACAGGGGACCCAAAGGCCCCGGGATACTGGAGGATGCTGCAACATCATGGTCAATCAGCATCCAGTGGAAGGAAACAAGAAAGGGAGATTAGTGTTTTCTGAGCACTTACATTGTGCCAGCTCAATGCTAAGCATGTTACCACCACTATCACTAATACCGATCCCACAACACCCCCATGGGGTTGGTACTATTATCCCTGTTGGACACAGGAGCCACTGTAGGCTCAGAGAGGTGAAGTGACTTTCCAAGGCTGCAGAGTAAATGTCAGGTCTGGTTATAAATCCAAGCTTGTGAGGTCGAGGGCCAGAGTCTTTTCTCCATCCCAGGGAAGGCCTCCAAGGATGGACTCACCAGTGGTCTCATGGTGTACCACGGGCACCTCCAGGCCAGCCAACTTGGCCACCAGCGCTGTCTTGCCCACGCCACTCTTCCCAGACACGAAGATCTTGTAGCTGGCTGTGTCAATGGCCACGGGTGGGGGCAGCACTGGTCGCTCAAGCAGGCCTGGGGCAAGAAGAGAGCCAGGTGGGGTCAGGGGGTCAACCTGTCCTTGCTCCATCAGACCCTGGGCTGGACAACCTCATCTTTAAGGGCTTTTTCAGTGCCAACCACCCGTGGTTCTCTATACTCATTACAGAGGCCCGGGACACAAGCAGCATCCCCAGACGAGTAGCTCTGCTGAGAACGCCTGTGCTCTGTGAGCTGGGCCAAGACCCGCTCCAAATAACACCAAATTATTATTATTATTATTATTTTATTATTATTATTTATTTATTTTGAGGAAGATTAGCCCTGAGCTAACATCTGCCACCAATCCTCCTCTTTTTTTGCTGAGGAAGACTGGCCCTGAGCTAACATCTGTGTCCATCTTCCTCTACTTTATATGTGGGATGCCTGCCACAGCACGGCTTGACAAGTGGTGTGTAGGTCCGCACCTGGGATCCGAACTGGTGAACCCTGGGCTGCCAAAGTGGAACGTGCAAACTTAACTGTTGCATCACTGGGCTGGCCTCAAAAACAAATTATTTTTAAGTTTGATGCATGAGATGGTTTTTAGGTTATTTTATTTTTTTAAGTTCTCATTATTATTTTTTTTTTTGTAGGGGAAGATTCACCCTAAGCTAACATCCATTGCCAACCGTCCTCCTTTTTCTTCATTTCTCCCCCACAAAGCCCCAGGACATAGTTGTGTATAGTTGTAAATTCTTCTAGTTCTTATATGTGTGCCGCTACCACATGGCTACTGACAGACGAATGGTGTGGTTCCGTGCCTGGGGAACTGAACCTGGGCGGCCAAAGCAGAGTGCGTCAAACTTTAACTGCTGGGCCATCAAGGCTGGCTTGAGATGGTTTTTATTGATACTATTATCACATGTTCTAGATTTCCCACATGTGAAAACAAGGTTTTTCATAATTCTTTCCTCTGTGGAGAAATTCTAGCAAAAGTATTCTCAGTTACTATAAATAAACTCCTTAGAATCAATATGTTGATGTCTTTATGAATGTTTTAAATTTAAAACTTGCAAAAAACCTGTCTACATTATGATACGTCTGTAGGTGTAAGATCTGAAAGTTCTAAGGTGTGGGCTGCTCTCCCAGTCTCTGGTCTTATGCCTTCTAGTGCCTGTCTCTCCTGTCCAGAGGGGGACTCTCACACTGACGCCAGACCCTTCGCTGGCCTGTCATCCTGGCCCTGTCTGGGTTAGTCGGCTTCATGCTGGGGAAAATGAGTGTCTTATCCTGCAGATAGCAGGATATGGAAGAGGCTTGTCTCTACCTACTAGGGGATCTTGGGCAAGTCTGTAAGTTGTGCTGTTGAGGTTAGATGGGAGTTCATTGTGTAAAGTGCCCAGCAGAGGGCCTGGCGTGGGGCGAGGGCTCAACAGCCTCTCTGGTGACAGTGGTTCCTGGCAGGGTTTCGGCTGTTTCCATGTTCCTGGCTCTGATGATGGAATTAGTTCTAAGGAGATTTGGTAGTGGGGGGGTAGTGGGGATAGGACTTCCAGGGGTCCCCAAGGCTGAGGAGTGCTGTGGAGCAGGCCGTCACTGCCCTGCTTCTCTGCTGCCCCCAGGAGGTGACAGGCTTTGGGGGAGGGGGTGACTTACCAAACACCCGCCGGCGGTTCTTGCGCAGGATGCAGGTCAGGTACTCCTTGCCCTCGGCGCTCTCGTGCCAGTCTGGGACAACCACTGAGCCCGGGGCAGGTGGTCTGGCCATGGCTGGGCACCCCGACGGGGTAGGAAGATGGCAGAATGCTGAGAGTAGGGGACGGGAGAGGGTACCTCTCCTAAACTGAACCTGTGACCCCCTAACCTGCGCTCTGCCTCGCGTGGAGCCCCAGCTCTCTCCTTGCGGGGCGGAGCAGTTACGGAGCCCCACCCTTATTATCTCGATTAGCATTTTTGGAGTCCAAGTTCCCTCTCGCTGTCCTGGAGGGTTACACTCTCCTTTCTCCCTCTTACTACCCAGAAAGTGCAATTCCATAGTCCTTTCTCCCCCGTATTGCTCCCTGGGGGACAGCCATCCCATTATTGCCCCGGAGGGCATTTACACAGCCCCTCTCTCCCTTGTCACCTCCAGGGCGGTCACACAGCCCTGCTTCTCTTCTACTTCCTCGATCCCGACTCCCAGAGCCATCCAGCCCGGATCGTGGGCCGTCCCCGCGAGCGAACCGGCGCGGGCAGAGACTGTCCCTTTAAAGGCCCGCCCCGCGATCCCACCGCCCAGCGCGCCGGGCCGCTTCCGCCCGGCCTGCGTCCTGCTTCGGCGCGCGCCGCCAGCCCTGGCGCCGGTGCTTGAGACGCTTGGGGAGGCTGTTGTCATGGAGACGCGGGGGGCGGGGTTGGTCTCTCCTGCATCTGCAGCTACCACTGCGCAGGGACACCCTGAACAGGACCTGCGCCTCTGGGCCATGGGTCTTCTCCTCCACTGCTCATTCCGAGCCCGAGCTTTTCCTCCAAAACTTGATCTAATCCCCCTTCTCCAGGAGCCTTGCCTGCCGCTCGGTGTCTCAGAGACGAGTTTCCTCTTCTATCAAGTAAAGGTCAAATACTATTACCTCCCAGGGTTCTTTACGACAGTGCCGGCCCATAGCAGTGCTCAAGTTTACTCATTATTGTTGCTATTATTGCTCTAATAATCCTGTTCGGCAGGACCTCAAGATGAGTTAGACACCTCTGGCTTCACAGATGGGGAACAAGCAGCTGAGAGGGCTCGAGGGATTTGCTCAAGCTCTCAAAGGTGAGTCAGAGGCAGGCTCACTGGACTGTACCTTCCAGTCGTTGATTGATTGACTGATTGATTGATTGATCCCATTCATTCAACAATAAGCACCTACTACGTCCCTGGCAGTTCGACCTGCTGGGAATACAATGGCGGGTGAGACGTTGTCCCTGCCCTCCTGGAGCTGACGTTTCAGCACTGAGGCCATGAGCCCCTCTCGGCTGTGCCAACAATGGGCACCCGGCCTGTTGCCCAGTAGGCGGGTGCTCAGTAAACGCCCGTCAGTTGGACAGGATGCAAGTGGGTCATTGCTGAGAGGTTGTCTATTACACTTAATTTTTATCAGTATCTTCACAGGAATAACCTTTGTTAAGTGCCAGGCAGTGGGAGCTTCATAGAGGTTACCTCATTTAGTTCTGTAAATAAATCTGTGTAGGAAATATCATTATCCCTCTTTTCTCTTACAGTGAGAAAACTCAGACAACGTAATATTCTGAGGTCACACCACACAGGTGGTCAGTGGGAAAACTAGACTCAGAACCCAGGGTTCCTGGACTCTGAAGTATGTATTTGTTCTGCCAGATTGGGTTTTGTGTTCTTAAAACTTTGCCCCAAGCCACTAGGAGGGCTGTTCCCACTAAAGCTGAAAGCAGGCAGAGGGCCACGAACTCACAAATCATTGAGGCCCATTATGTCCAACGGGGTAGAGGGGACGAGGACGTATAAGCCAGGGCACTTGCCCTCAACTTGCTTCCACTACAGCTAGGCACAAATGCAACAAATGTATAACCATCTGACAGGATTCTGCAGCTTGAAACCATTGCCCATACTCCCAGGTTCCCCTTCTTGCAGTTCTTACCACATCTGCCCAGGGTCAGGCATATTTTTACAGCTGTGTGGAGCTCTCTCCATGGACCAGGAGTGCCTCAGTGGCAGGGCTGAGATCTGACTTATCTCTGGGTTTCCAGACTTCACAGCCAGCCCCACCCCAGTTTGGCTCATGGAGGGCTCAGTGAGAGTGAGAGGGAATGAAGCAACTTGGCAGAATGAGCTTGTCGGCTAACCCAGAGGCCAGATAAGATGTGAAGTCCTCTTGGGCACCGAGAGGGAGGCTGGCAGTCAGACGAGCTAGTGGCCAGAGGGTTAGGGGAATCAGTCTTCACTGCACTCAGGAGCTCACGGAGAGGACACTTCAGTGAGCACCAGGAGCCTGGCCAAAATATGGATTCTTTGTCCCCCCGGGATTCTGCTTCAGGGCGTTGGATGGACCTGTGAGCCCGGGCATTTACCAAGACCACTGGGCAGTCGGGCTCTGTACTAGTCTGCTTAGGCTGCCGTAACAGAATACCGCGGGCTGGGCTTAAACAACAGAAATTTATTTTCTCACAGTTCTGGCCGCTGGAAGTCCAAAACCAAGGTGCCAGCGGGGTTGGTTTCTGGGGAGGCCTTGCTTCCTAGCTTGCAGGCGGCTGCCTTCTCAGTGTCCTCACATGGCCTTTCTTCTATACATGCACACCCTTGGTGTCTTTTCCTCTCTTTACAAGGACACCAGTAATACTGGATGAGGGTCCCACCATTATGCCTCATTTAACCTTAATTACCTCATTAAAGGCCCGAACTCCAAATAAGTCACATTGGGGGTTAGGACTTTAACATACGGGCTTGGGGGTGTGGGAGGGACACACACAATTCAGTCCATAACCGGGTCCACAGACCTCACTTAGATAAACACCACAGCTGAGGACAGGAAGCCAGGCAGTGTGGGGGCCTGGGAGTGAGGTGGTCAGAATTGCGTTGCAGAAGGATGCCTGTGAACCACCTTGGTCTGGTGAGCTCCCCTCTCCTATGCCCCTCTGACCATTAAACTGTGTCTCGCTAAGCAAGCTGCTCCTCCTCTTAGGGACTCAAGTAAAGCAGACGGACCATCCACCTACGGGCCTTTCTAGTGTAGAACTCTCAGATTAATCCACTCACTTCTTCACAGTTTGGTCTTCCCCCAAATTGACTGAGCACCTCCTGGACATGGTGCCACAAGGCTTCAAGAAGAGGATTTATCAAGGCAGGGACACAGTCACCAGCCTGGAGGAGGTGGGCTAGGTGGGCAGACTCACACACAGGCTGGAGGATCCGGAAGGCAGGGGTGGGGGTGGGTGGGACACCCAGGGAGGGTACATGAAGGGCCAGGGTCAGATTTGTGTTTCCATCTTTTGCCTGGACTCTGCACCTGCTTCCCTCGGGGTTTCCCTGCTTGCTCTCTGGGACACCACACAGGTACCAGAGTGATCTTTTTGCACCATAAATCCAGTATATCACACCCATCATAGTCTTCCAATAGTTTTCATTGTACTCAGAATAAAATCTAAACTCCATGCCTTCCTTCAAGGAATGGAACACATGCCTTCTGTGACCCGCCCCCAACCACCTCTTGCTTTCCTTTCAACTACCACCCTCTTGCCCGCGTCTACTGTACTCCAGCGGCCCTGCCTTCTGCTCCCCCTTGGGGCCTCTGTGCTGCAGCACCCCCAGTGCCTCACACCGACAGCTGCTTCCCCTTGCTCAGGCCTCGGCATGAATGTCACCCGCACAGAGGCCTTCCCCTCCACCACTCAAGGATCTGTCCCCGAGCCCCAAGCTCACTCTTTCACACCATCCTATTTTTGATCCTGAAATCTTAAAATTTATTGTCTGACTCCTTCACCGAGGACACACGCTCCTTGAGGATCGGGGCCTTGCCTCTTCCTTCTCTTTTGTTCCTGGAGTAGTTTCCTAGAGCAGTGACTAAGTGCCATGGACTGAGTGGCTTCAACAGACATGTACTTCCTCAGTTCCGGAGGTCCGGAATCGGAGATTAAGGCGTTGGTAGCGGTGATTCCTTCCGAAGACCGTGAGGGGAGGAGCTCTTCCAGGCCTCTCCCTGTGGCTTGCAGGTGGCCATCTTCTGTCTTCACATGGTCTTCCCTCTGTACCAGTCCACGAACAGATTTTCTCTTCTTTATGACACCAGTCATATTGACCCTAATGACCTCATTTTACTTTAATCACCCCAGTAAAGACCCTATCTCCAAACATGACCTCATTCGGAGGTACTCGGGGGGCTAGGACTTCAACATATGAACTTTTTGGTGGGGGAGGACACAATGCAGTCCATAATGATCCCTACTACCTAGAATATGTCTGACATTTAGTAAAAACAATAAAAATGTGTTGACTGACTGACTGGCTATGGCTACAGCTTAGAGAATGGCCTGAAGAAGGTGAGCCTGAAAGACAGACCCGTTAGAAGGCAGGGTGAACATTCCAGGCATGAGTGGACAGGACGTGCATTTGCCAAGTATTTACAAGCACTCTGTGCCAGGCCAGACACTGGGAAGACAACAGTGAAAGAGATACACACCTTGCCCTTGTGTATTCCACACACTGGTGGGGACTAAAATCAAATAACTACACAACTGCATGTATAAGCAGGGCAGTAGGGTACAGAGAAGGGGCAAATTAAACATGTCCAGATTCTATCTCAATATAAGATTTGGGGCTGGAACTTCCAAATCATACCCAGGGAGCTCTTTTGAGGCTGGGATATGCCAGGCCAGGACCTGGCAGCAAGGCTGGTGTCCTTGATCTGAATAGCCTCATCTGTCACTCACCTGCTTAAAACTCCCTAATGGCTTCCCACTGCACCTAGAATAATGTCCACCACCCGCCCCCCCATAGACTACAAGGCCCATCTGCACACTCTGCTCCCACTCACATACTCTAGCCAAAATGGCCTTTCCTCTCCTCCTTGAACTTGTCAGAATTCATGCTGGCCTCAGGGCCTTTGTTCTTGCTGTTCTCTCTGTATAGGATGCTCTTCCCCCATCTTCCCAGGGCTGCCGCTTCTTACGTTCAGGTCTCAACTGAAATGTCGCCTCCTCAGAAAGGCCGATGAGCCCCACTCCATCACACTTTTGTCACATCCCATTTTTATTTTTATGATACTCATCTGGAATGATCTTGCTTACTTGTTTACATATTTGTCTGTCCCTTCTCCCCCAACCCCCACTGCAATGTAAACTCCACAGGACAGGGACAGTGCCTGGCACACAGCAGGTACTATATATCTGCTTAATGCAGGGAAGAGAGCTGGCCAGACACTTCCACCTCCACCCCTAGATCCAGTTGGCCACCAGAAGCTGATTTTTCTTCCCATATGCTCTATCCTCGTTGTTGTCACTGCCTTGGTCCAGGCCCCCATTCCTGGCCCTGACTGTCCCCCCCATCTCCCACTCATTCTGCAGTTCTGCCCTGTCCACTCCAGTCACAATGACCTTTGCAAGGTTCCGCAAGGCCCAGTCACACTCGGATCTCTGTGCCTTTGCATGGGCTGTTCCCTCTGTAGGAGTACCCACCCTTTTCCCTTCTTCCTCCAGCACTTGCCATAACTCCTCTTATCCTTGGTTCTTGGGGCTCCCAAGCACTTTATCTGACTTCTCTCCTTCTAATTGGAGTACAAGTTTTTACCTTCACTGACTGAGAGGTTTAAGAAAGAGAGCTTTGTTTCCTCCGACTCAGTTTAACCTGTCTCCGCCATGC